ATGAATTAGATTATATATTTTTTGTACATCACATGGATTCTATTATTGTTATACAATAATTGAATAAATCGCTAGAAACGTTGAAACGTAAAACAAAACAATCATGAACCGAGAATCCCAATTACCTTTCTGACACTTTTCGAGATTGTATACATTTGAGTCTTGTAAGAAAATTATATTACCTTGCACGTGTCTAAAGCAAGAAACACACTGGCCGAATAATTCGGCCAAATCAGTCGCCGCCGTATTGCAGCCAAATTCATTCGGTCGAATGAGTGGACACAATTGGACCAAGATAAAGAAAAAAAAGCAATTGCCCACATTTTGCAAGAAATGTACAAAAACAAGCTACAGAAAGCAATTTTTCGTACCATTAGGGATCATAATCCAGGTTGTTACGGTCTGACAAGCGACAACATCAAAAGGAACCAAATCGGATTCACATTCTACGTGAAAATGAGGGCGTATAAAAATAGCTGCAGCGGTGGGATTTGTTTAAGTTTTAGATTGTATTCGTCTCCTCCCTTAAAATAATACGCTCCCATTTTTTCTCGGAATTCCACGTTGTAGTGATCGTCGACATTTTGTCTTCAAAACGCATGTGACTTTTTCGACATCAGAGTTTAATTTGCAGTAACTCTAAGGCAAAAATATACGTCCACATGAAAATGTGGGCGTATAATAACAAGTCAAAGCTCCAGGCGTAATAAATACCAAATTAATCCTCAATGTATATAAATTTTGGTCTCACGGAAAATTAGATGTGAATATTTGTTTAGAAATCCTTCATAATCCGGAACCACAGTAGCTGACAGAGGTGCCGGGTTCGATACCGTGGTGCCTCAGGATTTTCACCCATTGCATTCGCACCCATCGGTTATACACGTACACTGGTCAATGAGCTAATGACCTTTGGTCAATGTAACCGATAACCACGTGGGATTATCAGTTCAGTTCATTAAAAGCTATTAATTAATTCAAATTGAAAGTATTAGCAGGAACACGGAATCAATTTACAACATTTAAAAGCTTGGTTTAATCCCGTCTTAGATCCTGTATCCACCAGAGATTCGACATGCTAGACGATTGTATTCACGGTATATTTCAAGTCGCTGCAGGCATCGCTAATACTGTAAATAGAATGGTCTCGCCGCCAACATATAGGCTGTATTATATGGATTTTGTTTGGCATTGTGGCTTTGCCGCACCCGGAACAAATTTGCCTATACCGTAGTTTGTCATATTTATTAAAAGTCGATAAACATGTTCAATACTAAGTCGTTGATCCCCAAGATGTCAGAACACGTATTAATTTTACACAAAGCATAGCCTCTTTCCACATCGGAGGTGTTCCCCTTAAATCACAACCTTAATAGAATGACTTTCTAACGGTGAGCCTAAAACTTCGTGTTACTTTGAAACTAACTTGTATGACATCTAAATCAAGATGGCTGATTACATTCTTCATTTAATAACCGAAAGAAAGTAATGAAGACACAATATTATTAATGTCAGGCCGTTTTACAAGGCGCAAAACTACCTGATACCTAGTTTGTTAATACATGTATGGGTTCAAACTTAAAAAAAAACATTACTGGTTAACAGAAACTCAAGTTGAAAAGGTTGATTAATCACCCAGTAGAAGGATATTTTATGTCAATTGTATGTATACAAAAATCTTTGAATCATGTCTCCTTATTCTATTATGCATTCCTTTTGATAAACTCGCATATATGTTGTTTTAATTGGGATAATGATTATTAGTTTCTAAAATATGCCTATTGGAACATATTGTAATTATACTGCAACATTCTTTTAGGTATTAGACCGTTTCTGTTCGTTATTTTGCGAATTGGCTGTTCAAGGTAGCCTCCATTAGTATGGTGCTATGAAAAGAAATATGCAAGTTTGGGTGTAAATATCTTAAGCTAATTTACTAGTTTCGGTGTAAATTGCATCAGCTAACACTACATACTTTATGTGATTTAAATTATTTCATACTTCTTGTTGAATTTAGAATATATTATAACTATTCGCCTAGGTTATTCATTACTTGGTATAAAGACGGGTTAGAAAAAACTGAATTGAAAATAACAAGAATTTGATGTGTTAGAAAATATAATGTCAATAATTGTGCGATGAAAACATGTTTCCAATTATTGTTGTTTTGTTTGATGCATTCACTCGCTGTTGTTTTTTTGTCTGTCGGATTCTTTAAGTCTTATATGGAAGGGTATTAGAACAATTTAATCTCTTCTGATTCAATAAGAAAACTTATTATTTTCAGATAAATTGGCAATTTATTACCTGTTTGCTGTTTGATTTCGATACTTAAAGGGGTTTATTTTATGGAGACCCAATCAAAGCTGGGAGTTCCCCTGTAAGATACAGGGACAGTGGTCAACACGTTTATACAGTAAAGTACACACTAATATTATTTTGTTAGAAAAGCAAAATAAATTTACATAAATGGGAGACTTGTATTAGATCATCCTGTATGACCGATTAGATGAGTTCTACAAATCACCTTACGCCATATTAGACTGTAAGTCTAAGTATGTAAAAGGAAATACCAACAGTTCTCTTAACGAATTTCCCTAGAGAACACCATTATTTGACCTCTTTCACAAATGTGTGATATATAGATACGTATAATATAAAATGATTACATGAATTATTGCGAACTTGGTTAGCTTCCCTTTACCACAATCTATATCTATATGTTTCTTTTGATAGACAATATAATTCGTGTTAAAACCCAACGGCCATTTATATGGAATACAATCACTGGATTATTATTCATTATACCGCGACGTTCTACAAAAGTTCCTTGTTCATTTTGAAAAACTTTTACTGTACACAATCGCTTACGGGTTTGTTTTGAAGAAGTTTTTTCCGCCATGAACACTATGGCACACACGGTCCGGTAAAAATGAAATCGGATTTGACATCCTTCTTGTTTGCACCATTCGGGCTAATGAAAACGGGCTTCCGCCATGCAATGTGTTATGATGGGAATTTTTTTCCTGGCTGTGGCCTATACTGTTATTTCCAATACCAACTGTCAAGGGTCCTTTTACACATATGTAAACGTGAACACGGGATCTCGGGTTTTCATACCATCCTGGCAACTAGACGTTTTGCGAACTTAATAAATGACGAAAACTCTTACATTAAAGATGAAAGTATGCCTGATCTAAAATTTAAATGGCCAAACATCGTTTATATTACATAGCATATACAGACGATGATCATAAAGTGATTTTTCAGCTTGAATAGGTTAGAGGAAAGAAAACGATGTTTTAGTCCCCGGGTCAGTGGTTATTGAAGGCAATAAATTGACTTCCAGTATGTTGAAGTAGTCTAATATCATCGTTGCATCATGAGTAATCATACCTTTGTCGAGTCAAGAAGATCACTGCCCCCTCCGGCATATCTTTGGACTGTCAATGAAACTACATTATACAGCGATTCATCTCTACTCATTTTGTTTTTTTAACTCCAGTAAATGCATGTTGGTCCACAAAAGATCAAAGTTCGTCCTTTGTCGTAGAAGCAAGGATGTTTATCTGGAGTATCGGTAATCGATTTTGCAAAATGAATAAAACGAAATTAAAATAATAGCAGGTGTAAAACCTGGGTAACGTTGTTTAGCGATTTCTTATTAAACGGATCGGATGATTCATGGTAACTTGGGATATTAAACTTTTTATTTCTTTAAGACGAGAAATTTAATATAAAACCCTTCCCTGTGAGATATTAAAATCCCAAATTAATGTGAAAGAGATTAAAGTGTAATAATGCAGCAGTTTAAAGACTTTCGAATTCACAAACTAAAATAATCTGTGATGAAACAAAAAACATTTTATTAATACTTTCTTATTAAGGCCTGTCTGTAAGTAATGTTCATACAATATTAATATCCAACTATATATATATTGAATACTTCATGTTCAGATTATATGATGAAGCTCTATATTGCGAAAGAAGATTATTATATATGTATGGGGTGGGATTGTAACGCCCACTCAACACAAACATATCGCTTGCAGTGTGTGTTGTGTGTGTGTGTGTGCGGCGGGGGGGGGGGGGGCATTGACAAAACACAATAAATAGAAAGAGTGTAATCCATGTAAAGGAAACAAAGCTTGTCATTCCCATTCCACTCTATGTTTACCTGAAGTGGTAGGTTTTACGTTTTGTTACCACACTAAATGGGATTTATTTAAATAAACATGGTAATCTTTAACCAACTAACAAGTTGATTATTAGCAGTAACACAAATTAGATATATATGATACTATAACTATATGTTGTCAAAATTACACCACAGGGTCATAGTTGTATCCCGTATATGACCGAATAGACATATCTACATAGAGGGATTCGTCATCCTCTCTCAGACTGCTAACAAATTCAGTTATACTTCTTCATGTAGGAAATGATTGCACAAAAAATAAGGCCAATCCAACCAACGTAATCTTACCCCCTATCAGGGTAGCATCCACCGGATCTCACCGACCTTAGAAATATTGACGTGAGCAATGATACTAAATTGGTGCCCAAGACGCCAATTTCCTATTGGTGGCAAACATTTTTAAAATATAGTAAAGCCAGCTGGTAAAGATTAATAGACAATCCATACGGATATATTTAATCATTCGTGTGGTTTCCGGCGTTGTCTGGTTCCGAGGAGGTCAATAAATAAGAAATTTACCTAGATTAGTCTCCATTATCCTGGCTGTTATATATTTTATCTAAATCAGATTAAATTTGATGTTCGACGTCATATATTTTACCTTGATTTCTAGCATCAAGCAGATATGGCGATTAGGTAAATGTTGAGTTCGGCCCTGCATCGTTATAAGGTCTTAATTGTGGACGCTATAACGTTCAATATTTCTACCCATTGCCTAATTCTGTGTATCTGTACTGTAATTAAAAACTAAAGAAACATCAAGAACATGCACATGTTATGAAGATGATTCTTTCTATTTCAGAAAGTGTTGAAAGGTTTACAAATAAATCGTTTATCAACCCAGTCTTCCTACCATCAGTAACTAATATCACTGCTAAAAGAGGGTCGTTGGCTGTTTTACCCTGTTCTATACAATACCTACAAGATAAACAAGTAAGTTTTACCCTATTATATACAATACCTACAAGATAAACAAGTAAGTTTTATCGTGTTATATAACAAGTCTACCCTGTTCTATACCGTGAGTACAAAATAAACAAGTTTTACTCTGTTCCATTTAATCCGTACATTATAAACCTGCAGGTGTGATCATGTATACAATGCGTAAAAGATAAAGAAGCATAACATCTTTACATCGGCTGTTCTATATAATTTAGGGGGCGTGGCCGAATGGTTAGAACGTGTGCGCTGTATCATAACGTCTGTCATTGAGTCAACTGGCGTGGTTTCGATTCCCCGGTTGTACGTGAAAAGGAGTAGTGTCGCCTGTCCAACCTCGTGGGTTACATATGACATATGTTTGCACACTGGGTCACAAATAACTTCACGAAATGGTTCCTGAAAGGTTTCCCCTTTTTCACTCGATACCAGACTGGTGGCTGTAGTCGTCTTCTGACACCACGGGTCGGGGTGGCATTCAGCAATACCAAGATCATTTTAAAATTTGCCAAAGCTTAATGAATATTTTCATTATGGGTATACTATATTCTTACAATGTGTCACGTTTTATGTGAGTTCATGTCATTTGAAGTCATGTCAGGGAAGTCATTTGAAGTGGTAGTATAATTATTAAAATGCGTAAATATGGTTATTGATATGATACTCAAGACATTTTCCTTATATTGCATTTATCATATTTAACCAGTTATCCTTTGCATATTATTGATGTACACCGTTTATAGAGAATATCCTACAAGTCTTGTTTGATAATCAAAAAATATCAACATAAGTCGATAAAGTCAAAAACAAAAGTAGGTCCTTTTTAACTGACCAATCAAATTCATGTAAAGCGATAACTCCTAAGGAAATATCGCAGTATAGATTATGAAATTTATCACACAAGCGATACCTACTCTAGAATGTATTATTGGGTGATAAAGTACTTTATTGTATACTTTAAACAGCGGGTTTAAGCAATGTTTTGATTATATAATTTGGGGCTGTGGGAAGATCTGAAATTTGGTATTTGCCTATACACATACCGTCAGGCAAATGTCTATATTATACCCTCAAGAACTTTGTTTCTTTAATTTATTATGCACTTGACATAATAAATCGACTTTGTCAGTTGTGAAATCTAACAGATTAGTTATAATAGGTGTAAATTAAAGATGGTGGCATCATGTAATGTAAACACTCTTCACATTAAGTAGTCAATATTATTACACTGACAACTTATAAAGGATGTGTTTTTTGATGTGTTATTGTTGATGTGTACCTCAAATACAAAGTTGTCCTTCTGATACCCCCCGAAAGTTTTTATTTGGCATTTTTTAAAATATTACTGTGAATATCCGCATTAATCAATCCCCATGATTCATGATTCTGACCATGGTTTGTATTGACATAAGTGATATTATGTAACAGTTTTGTATAATAAGAAAGCTAATTTCAGCTGTATGAAGTAATTTCTTGGTATAGCAGCAGGGGATTCTCAACACTCAAATGTCAATTTAATGTCACGACCATTACCTTGTTCAGACGTTTAACTATATTCACACCAATAAAATAAATCCTATTAATCCGTGTGTGTCGAAATGTCACCAAAACTTGTGAAAACTGTAACCTAACAAGTCTTAAAAGGTATAATTCAGACGGGTCGGGGGGGGGGGGAGGGTGCATGTCCGAATGTTAAACCCGTGCGCGTTGCATCATAAGATATGTCATTGAGTCAAGTGGTGTGGTTTCGATTCCCCGCTTTTACGTTACAAGGAGTAGGTTCGCTTGTCCAACCTCGTGGGTTCTCTCTGGGTCGTCTGGTTTCCTCCCACTGGTAAAGAGACCCCAACGCACAAGCGATTGATTGAAATAACATTGAACCATATTTTGGTCCCGAAATGACCTACTTTGTCTCGAGTGGACGTTAAAACCCACCCTCTCTCTCTCTCTCTCTCTCTCTCTCTCCGTCAATAACCTTAACATTAAGCAGAAAGATGAACGTTTCCAGGATGTGTTTTATCTATATCAATGTAACAGTAATTCCTCTGTTTGCAGTGATACCTTTTATTGTAAGCGTCAGTGATGGTGGTACATAGATTATAATCATGTTGTTAATCTTTGGTTTAGTTATAGCCGAAACATTGTTCCGTTATCTTGAATATATTCAGCTTCAAGAGTGTTGCAAGTATAGAATGGCGTGTATGGAATGGAGAATATGGAACTGTCAGACTGGTCAATACAAAAGCAGGAAAGCATTATGACAATAAATTATATTTTATGGTTTCTATATTGGAAAGTCTCCTCTTTCATCACTTTTGAAACCTCCAATACGAAACAAAATCTTCAGGGGCAAGAGTGCCATGTGATCAATGCATGGTAGCTTGACTACATTAGCGTGCTCTGGTAGAGGTCATTCGACCATGCCTCGCTCAGCTTTACAGACAGTACAGGGTCTTGCCTATAACTATTAAATTAAATTTTCAGGTTGCTTGGAGATCTGTTGACGAAGACAAATTTCTAACGATTGGTAAAAAGACTTGGTTTAAAAGCGATCAAATTATATTAGAACATATATCACTATCTGATAATATTACAAATTGGGATTTATTAATTAAAAATACAGAATTTATAAATGGTGGCATGTATGAGTGTCAGATAACATCAACTGTTGATTTAACTAGAAGAGTTCAACTTAACATATTAGGTAAGTTTGGGTCGTATTTGTGTGTTCTACTTCAATTGTCAAGGTTCCCCCTTGTCAGTGATGCAGGACGGAGGGCCTAACAAGGACAGATGTCTAGTCGTTCGGAAGGGACGAAAAACCGAGGTCCCGTGTTCACATTTGCATGCACGTAAAAGATCCCTTGACAGTTGGAATTCGATATAAGAGTAGGCCGTAGTGCCGCTGTCCGGGCAAAATTTTCCTCATAGCACACTGTATGGCGTATGCCCGTCTTAATTAGCCCAGTTCGGAGCAGAAGAGCAGGACGTTAAACCCCATTTCATTTCTGACCGTTTCAATTGACAACTGTTACGCTATTCGTATCTATTGAATACACCTTCATAATATTAGTCCCCTACCGTATGCGTGCATTTCATGTTTTGTTTTTGTTTGGGTTTTTTTTTTGGGGGGGGGGGGGGGCGGGGGGGGGGGGGATTTTTTTTTTTAAACTTCGGGATGTTTGAAATTTAGTACATTCCCGGACCTGTGTTTAGCAATGTTGCGGTTCGGTTTCGCGTGTATTCGTTAAATATTTGTACTGAATTATGGCCCTATATTGCCTGAAAATCATTGCAGCGTGTTTGATTGTAAGTTGGTACATTGCTGTTTATAACCTAGTAATAGACCACGTTCACGTTTCGTGAAGTCTTGACTGTATTATGACCCTTTGTAAATGACGTAAAAAGATAATGAAAGTTGTGTTATCCGGATTATCTTTAGCTTTAGAGGTATTTAATTGGATGTGTTTACACTACTTTAAAGAATTTATTTATTGATCATATATTCACAGACATGTATGCACAATATTATGCTCTTATAATTGAATGCATTTGCAAGGGCCGGTCAATGTGGGGTTATTGTTATAAATAAATTATTTTGTAAAATCATTTGACATTCGGCTCCATGTTAGGTAAATTTACATATTGTCATGAACATTGCCCAGATTAGGGGTCAGGTCACAAGCTTCCCTTTTAATTCCCATACCTTCCGTTACCACCATATGATCAATAATTGTCAGTTTATTAAGAGCTGCACTATCTAAAATGTATCACATTTTCAAAGTAGAGATTACATATATATTGTAATAACGAAAACCTAAACGACCCCCCCCCCCCCCGACCCCTGATAAATGTATTATTGTCATTGAAGTAGATTTCTATTAAATGGTCAATATTTGACAACTTACCATCGTCTATAACTTGGCCAGACAAATTAATATGCCTGGATATTGTTTAAAAAGATTTATGACATATATGGTGGATATTTTCGGAAGACGATATTAATCCGTCTCGACTTTTACATCATTAAATAACTTAATATATTTATTTTTGAAGGGATGGCGGCTGATTAGTATATCCCCAACAGATACATTAGTGTGTATCAAATAGTAAACGTGTATACACATATTATGAATAAGATTGTGGTTATTAGCAAATGGTTATTATCAATTGGTCGTTATTAGGTGATGTAGACATGAGATATTCGGATCCAATTAATCAAATAACACGCCATGAAATTTTAGAAGCCCAGGTGATAAATGGAGCGAAGTCATCTGCGATATTTCTTAGCAACATACTTGTAATATTCGGAAATTGAGGAGGGCATATGCCCGGGGAGACTCATTTTGGGGGCCGGTAAATTATTTAAGTATATTTCTAATATCTTAATCCAAATTGTTTGTCTATAGTGTACTCTATATAAATGCTGTCAATTTTTATTTCAGAAATTACTATAAAAGGACATAGATCTATAGATCGTGGTGATAGAATATACTTAGTTTGTAAAGTGACAGGGGGTCCCCACATACCTACAGATATCACGTGGTATAAAGATGGACATCCAATAACAAGTAGGGGATTCCCCCATGCTATAATAACTAAATATAAAGTTAACAATTCTAGTATAACAGAATTCATAGTAGATAGAAGTGTTTTCTCAGATACTGGTGTTTATACATGTAAAAGCAAAACAGTGAAAACTGTTAAAGCTAAAATATCACTTCAAATAGGTAAGTTACCATGGTTTGCAAACTATTGACCACTATAATGAATTCAAACGCACGTGGCCTCTTTGATATAGAGTGTTGTTACTTTTGTTTTATTTAAATTGGTGAGCTGAACACTGGGGACTTTATAATTAAGCCGAATGATTAAAGTCCCATTTGGAGATAATTTTATACTTTCTTATAGCATACCTCAACCAATTTTATAATTTGACACAAACTTCGCGGTCTGCATAAACTGTTGTTAGTTAAAGATACATTATGGGAGATAAGATAAAGAGCTGGCAGTTCTCATAATAATAGTTAAAAACTAGATGATGTAAAGGGAATTTGCTGAAAATTTCAGTCAAATTGATCCACTCTGAACCGAGATTTTAGCGATTGAATTTTCGGCGTAGCCTCGATCATCATTACTAAAGTTGGTACGATAAAAAACAGTCTCGATTATCCATTTCATGATTAAATCATGAATGGAAGTCGAACAGCAAATCGGAACCATATCCAATAAACATCGCAGGCTAGCGATGACATCTAGAGTTGATTATGGTCTGGATAAGTTAATTATTGTCTAATTAATAATTTAGATAACATTTCAGGCCTAAAGAAAGACCTGCAATAGGCAGATTTGGTTCTTGCATAATGTATGTTTAACAAAATTACTTTATATTTTGCAGTTTCAAATGCCCATTAAAAACTCATTTGTTCAAACAGTCTTTACAATTTGGCGCTCAAGAAAGGACATTATTATTTATTACTATATAATTATGTCTAATATTTTGTAGGTGATACAGTCAATGTTAATAGAGGTAAGTATTTATTTTTTAAAAAAATAAAATGTGCAATTCAAGTCTCCGTTCATTTTCCATGTAGGAATATACTTTGTGTGTACCATTATAAAGCCGTGCCCGATTCTTCCGTGTGTAATACAATCTTAAGGCTCGGTTTTGTCGCCACATCCGAACGAATACGCGCCACCCCACGCCACTGACACAGGGATACCGGGGGAGGGGGGGCCCGAGAAATTTTATCTGCCAACACCGGGATCGAGATGACCAAGGAGAATGCATGACCATGCCTCCATAGCTTCATTTCACATTCAGTTCCGATGTGTACACTCGTTCCGAATTTAAGTACCGTAACGTTGTGTTCTCTAGTATTTCTACTATTTTCTAGTTAAATATACAGTATTTCACAATGCCTATTTGGGACCTTTGACTAGCACCAAGTCATGCTATGTCACATGTATTTTTGTTAACCTTATCCAAACTCGGAGGTGCGGGGTTATTTTAACAAACTTGCTGCAATTGTTTAATTAGTCATAAGGAAGAATCCCAACGAAATTAAATGTCGCGCCCAAGTTTATGCAGATTTTATAGGTTTAAAACTGTCGTGTGTGCAGTATCTTTAAATGTCATCGAACCATTCACTTTGTTTTATATCTAAATTTTCTAAGTTCCAGTTTCTGAAGATTTAAAAGAAGAAAAAAGGGAACAATTTTCTCCCGTATACAGTAAGTCGTGTATTATATATTGTCCCTATTCTATAACTGAACCCAATCTTCCATTCAATTAGATGCTAAGTCAGTTCTGCAATATTTTAAAGCAGTTTTATTATATTTTTAAGTTATAAATATAAGTTTAGATAGCTAGTGTCATCCATTTCAAGTTATACAAATGTATTGTTTTAAATCGTTGTCAATTTGCCTTTTCTTATCAATATTGCAGCTTCTGGTTCACTGCAAACATCAAATTCGTGCCATAAACTTCCGCTTTCTTTATTCATCAAATCTGTGTTCATAATATTTACCTTAACGGTTTAAGGCCACCATCGTCTGTAGTGCATACAAATCCAAACATGTATCAGTTTAATATTTAGCGGGCTATTTTCACCGGACACAGTGCTGGGATACGAACGGTTGTGTTATGTCCAGGTGGTGGAGTAAATATTTGGATGCCTAGGAGTAGCCTAAGTGTGTGGATCGTTATTGTTTTCATACAAATGCAATTCTGTAGGATATCAGAAGTGAACATTTCAGTTAGCATATAGACGTGGATGTGTTAATGGACAAATGAATATAATATTGACTAAGACATAGGCCACCAATCTATTTAAAGATTTAGTTTTGTGAAATATGATTGAACTGAATTTTGAACACCAATAGACTAACCCATGGAATATTAGGTAATGGTTTACATCATCAAATCTGTGATATCCGATTCGGTAGTAATAACATACATTTTTGGTCACTTGTTTTCATCTTGATTTTTATGTGTTTGCTTTAAAGGGTTTTTTTATCTTCCAATGCAAATAAAGTGATTGGAAATAATCTGAACAGCCTATGCTATCATAATTTTAATCAACACTGCAACATGGCTGAAGCATCCCAAAGAGATTAATTACACTTAAAATCGTTAATATTGATAATCTGACATGCTGAAACGAAGACGGAAGCAACGGAAGATGACAATATGGAATGTCTGATGAACATCTTAGATGGGCTTCTATAGATTATATTTAAGGAAAGCTAATTTCCTCATGACACATGTAAGAACAACTTGACTAAATATATCTCTAGGGTGTAGCACTCTTTACACAAGGGGTCAATCCATTCAGTGGCCAGTTAACGTTGTTATTGGAAATCAATGAATGACAAAGTCAAAATAGTCTAACTTGACCCTATTCAGATCAATTTATCGTCGGTTTACTTCAAACATCGTTGTATAATCAAAGTGTTCCCGAATCATTCAGATTTTTTTTATCTCTTTTCTCTTGAGATAAATATGCGGAATCAGTAGAATTTTTGGTTTCATCAATTGGTTAAAAGTTTGCAGAGAATGGGGCAGATGTAAAATCCACATTTCTCAAGCAAGCATAATATAGGAACCAATTTATTTATTGTTTATAGGTATATGTCTGCTAGTTACAAATCACGTGCGAGTTTTTTTATATTCAATTCAAATCAAATGCACGTTGCATCATATCGTTTAGAAAGAGTAAATAAACCCACCCCGCGCGTGACACTATCTTCATCACACATATTCCAAGAGATGTTCAGATTAATTGAGTAATGGCTCTAGACCATCGGGTGCTACTGTCCACGCGGTGACTAAGGCTCGATCACTATTATTATTGCCATACTTTGGGTCATTTTATGTTTGGTTTCAGTTAATCATATATGTGTTACACTCAAACGAAAGAGTGTTGTTTTCCGCTAAATATCACTACGGGCATTAAGTTCGTTACAAGACATGTTGGATCATCTTCAATAGAAGGCTTATCTCGCTTTAACTCCGTACATCTAATCAAGCCCTTCACGTACCGCATATTTCGACACTAATTTCTGTTGGGAACTGACCCAGCTTGAGAGCCTATCGGATTCCTCGATCATCGCGAATACCAAGTCTCGCGCTTTCCAGCTAAATGACTACATGTGATAATCGAGTTGCAAAGTTCAAGGTTCGTTCAATGTTTGATTTGAGTGTGTTTGTGTCATAACCTGTGATTGGGCACTACTGTTCACGTATCTGCAGTAAAGGGGGATCACGTAGCTATACGTTCGGAAATTGCAAAGTTTTGTAGCAACGTCTAGATGTTGTAAAACTCGCTGTCGTTGCTTCAGGAATATGGTGTTGGATATAATAAGAATGAGGCAATTAAATGCGTTTGCGCAACTTATAAGCTATCTTGTTTTATCGTCGAATATATTTAAAATCAAAATAGACCAGAAGTAGATATTAATAGTTGATAACTTTGTGAAAGTAAGCATTATCTTCACAAGAAATAAATAAAAATAGAAAATGATTTCTGAACGAGAAAACCCTGGGGTTTGTTCCGTTTCACATTTTTGGGGGATATTTAGACGAATGGGGAAAAATGAAAATAAAACAGATGTCTTGGTGACCAAAACAACAGAAATCCTGGGCCTGTGTGTTCGTCTGTATGTGCAGTTGAGTGGTTATATCTGAATGAAGTGTTACAGATCTGTGTATATGTACAATACTAACTCTACACTAATTGAACAACTGATCATATCGTCATTAACTCAATCTTGAAATGGCCGATTTTATTCAATTTTTGGTTCACATTATACAACCCCCAAATCTACAGGTTAAGTCAACTTCTTAAACACTACGGAAATATGGTATGAAACAGGACGATACACGAAGTCGCCACCCAATCGCAGACAGATTTGAAGGAAGGTATGATATTTCTTGTATCCTGAATAAAAACGAAACCAGTAGTGAGTTATTCCATATCTAGAATTATTCATTCGATTCCCGTCTTCATAATAAAGATATCATTTAATGGTTTGGGGAAATAAAACTGACATATCATGTATGTAATTAAATTAAGCCGTCAGTAGTTATAATATCGGAATATATATACGAATCGTTAAGTAGGTTCACCAAGGGAGATAAATTAATGCGTTTTGGTATGTGTTAATTCCCTTGACTGTAAACTTTTCCCTATTATTTTTTATCATAAAATAACTTTATAGACATTTTGCTCAGATGGGAATTCATCAACTTTGGCGTTGTCGTTATACATCAGTTATGATATACGAGAGTTAGACTAGAATGGCTTCCTGGAATTGGGGGTTGTGTCGCATTTGGCTTATTTTATGGATTTGTAATTCAATAACTGATGAGCTTCAATTATTCCATTCGGTTGGGGTGCCACTTTGTAAATTACATGATTAACCATATCTACCCCGGGGTTTTCAGAAAGCCCTATATGATAACCCGTGTAATTCCACCACCACCCGAATGAATCAGGAAACAGACACGTATATTAGATACAATGCTGATGTTATAAGAACATGAACATTTCGTAATATATGTTATATGAAAGAGATCTTACAACAAATATCTCAAAATGGAAGCTTAAGATACTAACGTCTTAGACGAAAACCTATCGCTTATTCCCAGTAGAGATATTTAAAGCTTGAATGAGTTTTCTATTAGTTATAATGACTCCCGTGGTATTACTAGAATCAATATAAAACATAAAAAACTGAGACTAATTTTATTACATATACATCAAACATTCATAGATGTAGTCGTTTTGTAGAAGAAAGGAAATGTGGGCCATTGTGTTAAGTTGGGGCGCGGCGATATTGATATAATTATGTTCAGTAAATAATTATACGGTAGTTGGTATATAACATGAATATTTACATATATTAGATATTTTACATTACGGTGTATCTTTATACGTAAATCTCTCATCTGATTTAAGTAACGCTGTCACTCAGAAAAGCGTTTCTGGGGATAATTAGGGTAAGACGACCTACAAAGGCATACGGCTGGGAGCGGTGGGGAAACCCTCAAAAGCACAGTGATTTTTGGTTAAACTATCTATGAAATATTGATAGATTTTCATTTATATCATGTAAATTAGGACTGTTCCATTTTTGTTATAGGTGTTGTGTTAATTAATCGCATACATCACTGTCTGAGATACGGGTGTTCTGAGCCGACTGGGATAATGACTATAACTGGAATGGGGTTTAACGTCGTACATTTCTGCATGCTCCGATAGGGCTAATGAAGACGGATATATAGTCCTATGGGAAAACATTTGCTCTGACAACGGCACAACGGCCTACTCCGATTTAGAATTCCAACTGTCAAGGGTTCTTTTACGTGCACGCCAATGTACCATCCAAACGTGCACCACTGACAAGGGAAAAACCACGCTCGAAAATGTAAAGAAATGAATTCAACCAATACATGAATCATACAATATACAAAATACACAATGTGAAACTGAAAGCCAACTCTTTATTATCTAAAACGAACTGCCAACCTAGTGGGGTTTCTCCGGGTCATCCGTTTTCCTCTCACAGCTAAAGACCCCTACGCGAAAGCAAATTACTGAAATAAAATTGAACCATATAATACTATATCAGGTAAATAGTAAAGGCCTTGAAATTTACACCAAGCTTTATTGATCTAGTTGTTTATATAATTATTATACAGTGGCATGTTAATATGGCGGTATATTAGATTTTGAAAATTGTAACGTGCTATCGTCAAATTTCTAACTTCTGTTGACTTCGATTCATGTAATTTCTAACTTCTATTCATGTAATTTTTAAATTAAGACAATGTATTATCCAACTTTTTTATTTATTCAGTGTAAATTTTAATTCTATTTCATCGTATTTCTATTATTGAGAGAGAGGGAGAGAGGGAGAGAGAGGGGGTTTAACGTCCACTCGACACAAACTAAGTTATTTCGGGACTAACACATATTTCAATTTTATTTCTATAATTCGCTTGCGCGTAGGGGTCTTTAGCAGTAGGAGGAAACCACTCGACACAAACTAGGTCTTTTTTATTTTAATAATTCGCTTGTCGCGTAGGGGTCTAGCAGTGGGAGGAAACCGGAGGACCCGGAGAAACCCCACGAGGTTGGACAAGCGACCCGACTCCTTGTCACGTGCAACCGGGGAATCGATGCTGAAATTGAAAAAAACATCAAACGTGATATGGTTGGCAAATACTATTACAAATAAAAGCTAAACAACATTCATTCATTTTTTTTTTGAAGACAAATGAAGGATTTGGAGAAGCCAATATTAATATGTTGTTAATCTGCTCTAACAAAAATGTCATGTTGTAATGATAAAAAATATTTCGAAATGGTACAAAGATATAAATTTAGAAATCCCATAGCCTATTGTGGGGATGAAACGGCCTTTAAAGAAGACCGGAATAATCTATTCATGTGGATAGCAATGAAGTTTCTAATTCTGATGCCTTCATTATACCGACCTAGTAGTTTGTTTCCAACAATATTTTATTCAAGTTGCATAAAGTGATACAGAATTCAATAGATAGCGGTGTTTTTGACGAAAATAAACCAAAATAAAAATAAATGGGATTTATCGTCCTACTTTTCTACACCAACTGGCGGCTAATAAAGACGAACTTACGCCATACAGTGTTCTAGATTGAAATTTAGCCCGGGCAGCGACGCCACAATCTACTTTTATACGAATTTCAGCTACCAAGGGTTTTCTTCCGATCCGGACGACTAGACACTGCCCCTGCCTAAACTAACGGCATCCTCTGCAACTCACAGGGGATGGGACTAATGTCAGAAATATTATAAAGCTTAGTTTTGCCAGTGTGTATACTAGCTGACTATGTTAAATAACCCATATATATATTTCGATGATATAACCTATATCTTCTGGCGTGGTTCTCCCTCCCTTGTTATTGATACAGGACGGGGCCTGGCATGGACACTGGCTAGTCGTTCGGATGGTATGAAAACACATTTGTTTAG